TCTTAATTTACTGCATAGACGCAGAGTAAAGTGCACAAATTCATTTCTACTTTCATTTATCCTTATAGTAGAAACTGTTGCTAGTATATTAAATAAATGACATCTGTAGTATATTTCCTCTCAATAAAAACAATATATGTATCAAAATTAATGTAGAAATATTGCATATTTATTTCAATTTTAAAATACACTTCAAGTAAACTCACAATTATTGATTAAAATAAGATAAGCATACAGATAATATATAACTGACAAATTTATACACTCATCTAATTCATAATTTTTTTTTTTTTTAATTTCATTTTGAAAATAAAACCTGTTTCAGCTTTTTGCACTGACTCGGATAGTCTCAGTCCCAGTCAAGTTTAGATTATTTCAAGTAATTTCCTTCTTAAATATTACAATCACAGTGGTATTAAATTGTACACATAGTGCGTAATCTGACAAAATGGAAATTGCAACTTGTCTTCTACGTCCATGCTCGATGAATAAATTGTTCATGAAGATTATGAGTAACGACAGTGCTTCATCACTTTTTAGCTAGTTCATTACTCAACCAGTCAAGTCCTTCATAAAGTCCATGTCCTTGAGTAGCACAAGTGCTTTGAATATACCAATGACGTCCACGTAAAGAATTTAGTCCCAATTTATCTGTAAGTTCTGCTGCAGACATGGCATTTGGTAAATCTTGTTTATTAGCAAAAACTAAGAGAACCGCATCTCTCAGTTCATCTTCTTTTAACATGTTTGCTAATTCACGTTCTGCCTCTCCAATGCGTTCACGGTCATTACTATCAACAACATAAATAAGACCTTGAGTATTTTGAAAGTAGTGTCTCCAAAGCGGTCTGATTTTATCCTGACCACCAACATCCCACACCGTGAAACATATATTTCTGTATTCAACAGTTTCAACATTGAAGCCAATAGTAGGTATTGTTGTGACTATTTCACCTAGTTTCAATTTATACAATATGGTAGTTTTTCCGGCAGCATCCAGGCCCACCATTAATATTCTCATTTGCTTTTTGCCAAAGAGCCGGGTAAGTAGGCTACTAATTGTTAGGCCCATAGTGCTTGGGAAGACACTGAACTGGTTTCAAGTCTTTAAACTAGTGCCTCTTCACTTGAGAAAATGTTATTGATACTACGTATTATTTTATGACGTTTATGATGCCGTTAATACACCTTATAGAGGTTATTCCGGAAATAGTTGGCAAAATTGGCCACGCACACCAACTCCTAATGTACTGACCGAAAATGCGTTGATATTATAGCAAGACTTAAAATAATCATTTCTTTTTGCAACAAGCCTTTCAAAAGCAGATAGATATGATTGTAAAATATATTAAATATTATTTCATCACTCAATTTACCAGTCACAATGTACCAAGAACAGAATGCAACATAACGCGCATTCGGTCATATAATCCATTAACTACATAACCAAGCGCGTAATTTAAAAGCAAAAAATTTTTTTTTAATTAAAAACTTTTAAGAATATTTTGATTCTAAAATTACTATAAATCATTCTTTTCTAATGTTTTATTAATGATATGAAAAGATGTAACAAATAATTTGTATAGTTCTAAATTAACTTATCATTATTAATATAATTATTTCTTGATTAATTATTAATTTGTTAGTTTGCGTTATGTATAAAATCTGTATAAAATACAATTTGTATATAATAATTTTAGAAAACAACTTTTATAAAAAATGATACAATACACATATATATGTAATATAATTGTAATTAAATAGTTTTCAAATTTAAATTGTAACTGTTTATTGTTATAATACCTTAATATTATATCCTGTATTTCTTCTTATTTATTGTTACAGCCACGTACAAATGTATTATCAAACCACTACGTTTTTCATTCACTATTTTTATTTTATTCTTCATTTGTTTAGTAATATATTTTTATTTTTAATTACAATATCATTTGAATTAAAACGAGATGAAATATATACATAATTTAAATATATATAATTATTTTTCTATTTCTTTCTTTGAAATAGTAATTACTATAAATGATATACATTAAAAATAATAAAAGTTATAATAAAAAATGAAGAAAGCTAAAGATTGATTGTTTCTGCCACTCAATAATTAAAAATCTTGATAATTACTGAACAGTCTGAATAAAGTATTTTTTGACTGAAGAGAAATATCTTGTTTTTTAATCGTTACAAAGTCTTATTTGCGTTTTACAAACAAAAATCTGCTTGGAGGCAAAGGTATAAAAAGAAGAAAAATCTCTTCCGTTGCCATTTCCAACAAGTAGAGATATAGTAGTAAGTTCATTAAAATAGATCTTTTGCGTGATTAACAAATATCTATAATATTTTTTTCATATTTCATGTCTATCCTATTTACTTATTGATTGCATTCATTAAAAAAAAATTAAAATAGAAAAAATCTAATAATATTAAGTATCTTCGTGATTTCAGTATAGCGGGAATAATTGCATAATCCATTTTTATAAAAATTTATATTCTGCAGTAATGTACAGTTTTATTATCTCTTATTTCAAAATAACACGTATGCTAAGTTTTAATTAGATATCGTATTTGACTGATAGCTGGTAAGTAGCTGATCGATTACATTTATTATTTATTATATTGCTTAATTATTAAAATTGTTTTGAATATTTTATTTGTTTTTATATGTGTATTTAACACGCAAAGATCGCACAGGAAATATATGATACTTTTATTGTCGTAATTTTTTGATTTTTATGATAATTGATGTTTAAAATTGACAATATTTTAATGCCTTATAAGTAAAATTTAATTAAAGAGAAGAATAATTTATTAGGTTTATTTAAAAGTAATAAATTCAATAATATTTATTTGTAATTTATTTATAATATTTAATTAAGGCAAAAGAACAGACAGTAGCATATATTTAACTTTAAATTACATAGAGAGTTTTGATAATACGGAATTGGCTGATAATGTGTTAAATTTAAAAATGACTCCTCCATGAAGTAGCATTTCATGATCTTTAAATAAAATGTATGTGCGTAATCTTTAAATAAAAAATAAAAGTATATATATATATATATATATATATATATATATATATATATATATA